TTTGTTCATTGATGCTCTTACCTCAATTAAGCCACTCAAAATTTTTGAAGTTCATGAGTCATTTGCTTCGAATATCTTTAAATTAAGGACGGATTCATTTCCCTGGCAGCAAACACCCAGAAAGTTAATTAAAAGGGGCTCAGCATTTAAACAGCCATCATGGCTTTAAGCAGAAGGGGAGGGGCCCGTGCCCCTGTTACATCAGCTTCTCCTGCTTCCCCTCCCCTTCTCCCGGCATTTGGAAACTAGTCCATCCTCGTGGGACTTGAGCCAAGGTCTCTCCACTCCCTGTTCAGGTCAGCTGACCACTGGGGCGAAAGAAGATGACAGCAGCCTGTCCCACCACGAGGACGCTGAAGGCCCCCTACTGACAAGGACAAAGCAACTTGGAAATCACCCTTGGAGACGCATGAGTGGGTTCCAATGTAAAAATTACCAGGCAGAACCGGGATGACATCGGAGCCATCGCATCCTTGAGCTGCTAGGTGTCACGAATACGTGATTGATCTAAATGGGGACAAACCCTGAATGATAATGGGGACCTTGGCCCCTCCTGGGCAGGACACCTTCTCAGAGTTGTGAACACTGGCGTTGGGGACAGCACCGGACGGTCTGCACCGGCTGAATCCCAGGGGCCAGTTTGTAGGGTCTAGGAGTGTCCGGTCCAGGAAGTCTTTACTGAGCACTAACCACGCGCCCGGGGCCCAGGAGCTCCTGCGGCAGGCAATCGAGGGGACTGAAACCAGCTGGCTTAGATTCCCCGCAGCTCCCTTTATGAGGTTTAAGATTAAAGCCCAGGAAACGACTTTCCATTTTTCTCCTGGGAGACACTGTGATTCCAGACTCAGAACACGACCAGCAAGGGAGTTGTCACAGGAGGACAATGCTCCGCTGTGGGGAGCCCTCCTCTCCCGACCTCAGGTGAACTGCTGACCGTCCGACATTCACCCTCTGCCAGCACCTTGTGAGGCTGGAACTCAACGCCCTGGTGAACCTGAGCCAGGTGATTTTCCATCCCAAGCAGTTCCCAGCTAGCGTCACTGCTC